TTTGTTAAGTATGAAAAATGACAATTTCTCAACGCCTCTCACTTCGCAAAAGCAGTCTTTAATTCTGATACAATAGCTGCAAATTGAGCTCAACTTGATATATATCCATGAAATTTGGCTGAGTTTTTGACACTCTTTAAGCAGTGAATCGCATCACCTTCTCTACTGCAGATTTATGCAGATGAGAAGTAATTATATCATCTATATATCTCTTTAGTTAATCTATTCCTATCATAAATTAATCCAAATCTGAAATTTCATATTAATAATGTGGACATGATCACTAACTGTTCATGCTGCTGTGCAACTCATATCTCATGTGAGTGCATCACATCAAAATGATAAAAACACTGAAATGATAAAAATCTTACAATTTCATCATCTTTATCATCTTCATCAATTAATAACTTTCTCAATGTCAGTAAACACTGCAGAGCTAAAACAATTCATCATTAAATTCAAGTAAAGAAAGTCCTCACTATTAAAGATGTCAATAGAAAAATCAAGCAGTATAAGAATAATGAAGCTGAAAAAGAACAGAATAAGAACTGATAGAGACTTGAAGTTGATTCCATGAAAATTGATAATAACTCATTCACATCACTGACAGAAAAGAAATTAAATTAATTTAAAAATGACACATATACTGAGAATGATATAGATAATTTTTTTATTATAAATTAGCTACTGGTTGTTGATATAGAGTTCAATAATGAGAATGTGATTCAAAATTTTTATCATTTTGATGTTTTTATCATTTTGGTGTGATGCATCCACACAAGATGTGAATTGCGCAGCAGCACAATTAGTTAGTGTTGAAGATATATTTATAGTAAAGAAAACTATAGTTATCCAAAATCTTAAAAGAGGACAAATAAGATATTAATTTTAAAATTTATAATAGTTATAGTTTTTGAATGAAAAATAATGATAATTTATATAAACTATAAGATAGATCAATAGTTAGATTAGCTTATAATACTAAAAATATTAATTAAACATCATCTGATATATATCAGATGATATGATTGATTTTTAAATATATTCTCTTTAAATTTAATATACTTTCTATGAGATTTAAAGTTATAACTTTTAATTTTTCACATTAAGTACTATTTATAAACTAGTTTTAAACCTTTTCAAGGTTAATTTTTTCTAATTATGAGAACGTTAATACTCTTTGTTTATTACTTTTATTTTTTTTTAAAAAAATAGATATTTGTAAAAATTTATATAAGATTTATAATTTTTATTATTATTACTTTTATAAATATAATTTTCTTTAAAAAATATATATGTCAGCAGTTTTAAATATTATAGAAATATTAAACTTATTTTGTCATGACAATATAAATTTATAGATAATATTAAAATTGAAAACTGTATATTCATATATACTTTATTTTTTTAATATTGTAAAATAAAACTTAGATTTCTTAAGCTATTAAATTCTTTAAAATTATATAGTTTAAAAAAATATATTAAAGCTTTACATTTCAATTAGTTAAAAATTTAATAGAATGTCTTGGCTTAGTCTAAAGTCAAGATGATAACAAAACAAAGCTTCAATTCATCTCTCTAATTAGGTAGCTGCGCGACGAGAATACTATAACTGGGGATTAGAATGTGGAATGAACGAGCAACTATCCCCTCATCCGTCTTTTGTTGCACAATTAGCGCGATTTCATTAGTGTATATTATACGTGATATTATTGGCTAAATGGCGTAATATTGCGTACTATTTGGTATTGGTGTATTATAATAAGCTAAGCCTAATTACATTATATAGATTCTTCAGCTCTGTCAATGCCATGGAATTCCTCCCAGCATCTAGTTTTCAAGCAAAGAGCCACATTCTTACATGCTGAGCATCCAGATCTTGATCTAGGAGCTTGTCTACTCTCCTGCTGACCTAGCTTTCGCATATATCAACACCAGACACAAATTGTAGGCTTTGGTAGAGAAATTCATTGATGAATAAGCTCTAGATTTGATC